GTTAGAGAAGCCACAAGAGGGGCAGGTCCAATCGCCGGGTCTGGGACGATTTTTGGACGGCGGGAAGGGAGTCAAGATCTCAGCAGCACGGTCCAGGACACGACTGGAAGAGGGGGACACCTCGATGGCCTTCTCGTTCAAGGCGCGGCCGTTCATACAGAGGCTTTCAGCAGCCTACCATCCAGTGTCAGGATCATGCAAAGGACAAAAGAGGGAGAAGCTGAAGAATATACATACCTCCTCGTGAGATGAGAAAACGGCGAAGCCCGTGCCAGTGGGCTTATGTTGATCCGGCGTCCGCAGAGTCCAGAAAGCGATCGGACGACCACCGAACTGGGTGAACCAGCTTTCCAATTCTGACTGTGTAGTGTCGTGGGGCAGACCGCTCAGATGGAGAACCTTGCTGCGCTCCGTCAAAAAGGCACGAACATCCGCTCTGGCATCCATGGGCCGAGTCAAGATCTCCGGGTGCTCGTGCGGCGGCTGCGACTTGCGAATCAAGCCGCGGAGAACGCGAGCCAAAGTGATGGCCTCCTCCATTGCCCGGCGAGGAGAGGCGGGGGCCAATGCCTGAAGGTGGAACGGGAGGTTATGCTTGATCGGAGCGGAGGACTGTACAGGTTCAACTTCAAGCGCAGCGCAGATGTTGGAAAGGGAGCTGGGACCGAAAGGGAGAGACTCGGGGTGATGAGTCTGCCATCTCTGGTACTCGGTGCGGAGGTCAAAGGTCCGTGAGTGCTGAAGATATGGGGGAAGAACGACGGCCTTGTCACGAGCCTCACGGGGCAACTGCACTCGGAGATCCCACGAATCCAACGTCACAAAGGCGAACTCGAGATTCTTGCTGATGAGGTGTTCCTGGGCAAAGGCATCGAAGCGGTTGATTGCGTCACGGAAGGTACCTGCCGAGCGGACGTGTTCCCATGTCAGAGTTGTAAGGCTTGCTGTCAGACACTGTCAGCCATTGAACCAACAGACTGATGCATCCAGTGAATGGGAAACTGTGGAGGAGCAGGGGGTTCGGAATTCAACATGAACGCGTGTTCGGTTGAAATTGGGTATATGAATAGATTAGAAAAAATAAAAGAACCACTTACTGCAAAGAGGCGTAATGGGAGTGTTGACGGGCTTGACGAGAACACTTTCGCGATGAAGCTACGGAGAGAACAAAAGTCCCAGTCAGCAACATGCGGACGGACAGCGGTGGTGGTGGCCTAGCCACTGCGAGGGGAAAAGGGGAGTGAGGCGCAAGGAGGAGGGGAGAGGGAAAAAGGCCGAGTGTTGTTGATTCAGAAAAATAGAGCCTACCTCCTCGCAGGTTTTGGTATCCAACAAAATCCATCCCAATTCGATCACCTCTGCAGAATCTTTGGTGACGTAGACGCCATGTTCATCACAGGTGGTTGCGACGTGGATGACAATGTAGCGATCCAGCTTAGGGGTAGGTGCTGAGACGGCTGCCATCGCTCAGATTGTTGTCTCTTTTCCACTCTCACTGCCAACGGAGCGGCGAGGGAAAGGGGACGGGACGGGAGTGAATGGGGGAAAGAAGTGGGAAAAAAAAAAGTCTCTGCAAAGCTGCAGAGGATCTTAAATCACGACAGTTTATCTGGTCGTGATTTAAGATGCAACAAAAAAAAAAAAAGGAAAAATAAGAAAATGAACAAGCAGAAAAAAAAGGACAAGGAAGTGAAGGGTAAGGACAAGGAGGATTGAGGGGAGGGGGAGATTGAGAGGAGAGAGCGAGAGCGAGAGGTGAGAGAAGGGAAGAGAAAGGCCCCAGGCCGAGCTAGTAGTAGTTGGCCAAGGTACCTTAGTTAAGGTAGCCCGTAGTGAAGGACGAGTCCGTTTGGTGGTTACTTGGTTTGGTGGTGGAGCGTCGAGATTAAATAAAAAAAGAAAAGTTTCGGGTCTGAGGGGAAAGCCAGTGGAGATACACCAGTAACAGCAGACACAGATGGATAGATAGACTACTGGGAGCAGTCAATGACAGAAATCGAAAATGCAGCTAATAAGGATCAGAATGGAAGTAATCAGGAATCCCAATTCAGCTGTATTTGCATTTGCTATGAGATAGTAATTTTATTTTGTGGTACAAGGAAGTTATAACGTTGCAAAGAAAAACATGTGGATTATAAATGATTTGAATGGAATACTTAGTTTTCCCTAAGCTTGAGAGGTATTCATTTCTCCTACTTCTACTCTATATTAATGTCAGTGCCAGAGACACAATATCCCTCCTAAGATGAGGGGTAGGCGACAGCTGTTCATTAATGAGTAAGTGAGTAGTCACTATGTGACTGACATATGCAAGAGAGCAATTATCCCGAGCCATTACTAACCAACCTGCATCTCTCTTTCTGTAGTTATAAGCCAAGGATCGCTAGATCTATGCTTCCTGGTCTTCTACGCTCATGCCACCATGTTCCTCCCAGACTACCAAAGGGTACAGTGTCTATTCAGATCCTAAAGAACCGGGATATTTGTACCGATACTTTACAAATCGAAGACCAGCTATCTTATCAATCTCAGATTCCATCTTTTCCTAACGTCTCTTCCAGTTGTGAGTCCCCCTGGACAATTACACACTTTTTTATGGGAACCATGCTACTTGAACAGCTGCTGCAGAGATTCTGCTGTCTATTATGAGGCGGAGAAAATGAATGCTCCTTGTATACCTTATATTATCAGTGTAAGAGGTATTTATCCTGACCCATCAGAAGATGATTAAGTCAGCCAGTCTGATGCCAAGGCAGCATTCAGCGCAGCAAATATAGAATGGCAACCATTTCCTCAACATATCATCGAGGATCTCTTCACCACTGCTAGACGTATCGTACTATCTTGGGATGTGGAATTGTTCAATGACATTACAGTTTACGTGGTATTATCGCCTTCCTATTTAATTTACCCAGATCGGGAGGCTGGCAACAAAGGTAAATCCGTTGAAGGGGGACTTATACTTACTCTATTCCGCGTAGCTGGTCAAGGATGTATCGTCGTCCTTCCCCTAAGTTGGGCGCGAAGATTATTTAGAAACACCCATTTATACACAACAACTTGTCAATGAGGATGCATTGAATTGGAGAGAAGCGGATGGATTTGCTACGGCTTTGCCAGCCCGTGGTACTATGTGGGTTACGAAGCGACTCGAATGATAGCGAGACCAACGTCGACAGTGGCGTGTATGGCAAAGACTTGACGAAGGTACGATGTACATTCTCAAATAGAACATGTAGCCAGATATGTTCGTCCTAAAGACTACCGACTTTCCTCTCGTTTCATGTCAGAATTCGAACTCCTCTTGCACGAATCGTAACAGTGCGGCTTCCAAAGGCTAAGAGTCAATTATCCTCTCCGCGCTTTCTAGCCAATCGTCGACCCATTGGAAAAGAGGAAATATATAAGCATATTCCCAGTACGAAGGGTACCGGCCAGCCGTCTCCCAATCAACGATAGCGGCAATTCTATATTCCCAAACGCTTGATGTGGAATTTTCGGCTTTCTCGACAAGGGTATTCTCGCTGTATAGTTCTCCATGGGTGAAAGTGGGTTTATGGCCGCTGAGAGCAGATGGAAGGTGTCGAGCCAGAAAGTCAGAGGTCCAGCCATGTCTACCCCTATCAATCCAAATTTGACTAGAACGAAGAGCAAGGGCTTTGCTGAAATCCTCTTCTTTGGTGGAAGGGCCTGTGATTGCAGGGTTCCCTTCTTGCGAGAAAAATTATCGATGAGGAACAGGCCTTTGTGTCAAACTTCCATAGTATCCGGGAGAAGGGAGCGATCTCAGGTCTGCGAAAATGGATCAAAGCTGGCCAAGCAGAGAAGTTTTATCGTTTTCTGGAAGTGAGGGCCATAGGCTGCCCAAAATAGTTCCGGGAGTATATTCCAAGACAATATAGAGCTTGTCCTTAGTTCGATACATGGCGTAGAGTCGTGGCGCCGGGATGGAAAGCTTCTGCTCAATGAAAAGCAACGCATAGCCCTCATTTTCAGCGACACATGGGCCATATTTGACAATATACAGGTTCTACTTACCACACGGCGTCCACCATAATCTGGGTTGCGAATAGTGGGCAGACTTTGTGCTGCGTGATCGACTTCAAGTTGCTCAGGAAGAGGACCTGGTAACTGGTCTGACTCTCGATAATATGGAAGAAAAAAAATCATTTCGCAGAAACCATTTTTCTATTCTTGATAATAGATGTCAATCCTTGCCAAATAAGTTGGAACGGACGGTAACTACACCATGACAGTATCTATCATATAGAAATACTAACCAAGGTAGCAAACAGGTTTCTATCCTGGTCTTTAGACTTAATACATGTAGTCTATCTGGGAGTTAGCGAGACAACTAGAAGGAATGCTCCTTGCATATATTATCAGTGTAAGAGGTATTTATGCGGACCCGTCAGAAGATAATCGCAAAACAATACATGAAATATAGTTAGAAAGACAGGGGGATAGAGCGTTTAAGACTGAGACACACGGATTGGCTTGAATTCCACCCTACCCCAATCTCACAGTGACAGCAACGAGATATAGACGGGCAGAGTCTTATTGGACAACCAGGACGGGACAGATCTGTCAGCCCTTGCTCACGCCACTAAGACAGTTACATTCCGATTGACAAGGTTATCTGAAAATTTAAAAGTCAAGAAAATTCAATTCGAAGTGTCTTTTGACTGGACCTCCCAATCCTTGGGTCGGCCAGTCTCGTATCCAAGGGACACATTGATGTACCTTTTTTTATTTGATAATCGAGTAATCATATTTCACAGAGTCAGCATCCACCGTATCAAAGGTAGATCATCACGAGAAACCAAAGGTGCAATAGATTGGAATGAAGCAGCGGCAATCATATACACCAATAGACCAAATCAATAATTACATGAAAACCTCATAACCATGTCATAACCCATCCCATCCTCAAACCGTGACCATCATTCAACGCCGGCGCAAGAGAAAGAAATGAATCAAGCACCAAGGGACCTCCGCGCTCAGTCGTCATGAGCTTCAGACTTGATGATCGTTCCTCGACTGTCATCGTTCTCATCCTCCTCCATGATGCTGGGCTCTACTGAGAACATCCGCCGGCGTTTGCCTGGGTGCTCAATGGACGGCCGGGCACTGCCAGAGCGGATGCTCATGGCATCACTTTCGGGTTCCTCGGTGCCTTCACGCGGCCTGACACTCTCGGACCTGGTACCCTGCGCAGTTGCAAGGAGTTTGAGAACAGCATTCTTCACCTTCACGAGTGCATTTCGACCCGCTGCTTCGGCCGCGACACCCTCTTGGATGGCCTCGTCCAGTAATTCCTTGACCTCCTGGGCAAGAGCCACATTCTCAGGGGAGATTTCGCCCCCACTGGCACTCTGGGTGCTGGAGCGGAATTGATCATCGCCTTCGGGGATCCTAGACCCAGCTCGCGATGGTACCACAGGAGGAGAAATATAAAGCTTACTCAACAATGAGAATATAAGCTTCTTTTCTTCCTTAGAGCACCGGTTGGGACCGGTGCTAATTCCCAGAACGCGCTCCAGAATATCTTTCACCAGGGCCAAGTGCACGAATCCACAGGCGTTGGAGCTTGTCGGAACACCCGCCAGAATCTTCTCTCCACCCAGGCCCACCACTCTCCGCTCATCCGTCCATTCTGCAAGCATGCCCACGACACCTGCCATCAGGGTCTTCAGCTCCCTTTGTCCAACAGTCTCATCAATCTCGCCATCACTATCTTCCTCGGCTTCTAGGGAGTAGTACTCCTCCGCCGCATTGAGAACCGCACGGATAACGGGAACGGTCACCTTTCGCATGTGCTGGGTATTCTCCAAGCGGGAATGGCAGTATACAGGGAAGAAATAAGCCAACGCTTGCCTAAAGGCTGGGTTCTCCCGAGTACGTGGGTGGAAGAAAGAAACAATGAGCGATTGCAAGAGGGTCTCCACAGCGGACTCGTTGTACTCCTGGATGGCCGGTGGAATGTTTGCCCCAGACGGCGTAAAAGTATTTGTGAGCAACAACTTTGAAAGGCCGGTGGCTGCAGCGGCCTGGACACTGTTCGGAGAGCTGGCCTTTAGAGCTCTTGCAAAGACCTTGAGCAATGGCTTCTGGAATGCTGGCGGGGAAACGGTTTCCCCGTCAGACTGTGTGACAGGGGCGAGTAGCGAGGGATGCGTCGTTATCATATCACACAAAATGTGCAAGGCGGTGACCTGCAGGGCTTCGTGGCCTTTGCTATAACAGTGGATGAAGAGCGTCATATTCTCTTCGGCGAGAGTCTGGGGGCCCGGAAATAATGGGTCAGCAATCTGTTGAGCAAATATGCTAATGTTAGAGAACTCACCTTGTCCAACAAGCAGCAGAGACCAAGGCACACTAGACCCCTTTCACGGATCGGAGCCTCGTGGCTTCGAACCGCTGGCACGACCAAATTGTTGAGCATAGTGACCAGGTTCATGTTCTGTTGCAGATTGCCTTCCACGTTTTGTAACATACATTGGGCAATATGCAGGCATTTCATATTGACCACGATCTCCCGCAGAACCTTGGCCTTTGCTTCCTCCTTATTGAAGGGTACTTCGGCTTCGCTGTCTGCCGGGGTCTCGGATCGTTGGCGGCTGGAGGTCGCATCGCTAATTTCAGACTTGGCCGAAACAAAACTATCTTCGGTCACAATGGTGTCATGGACTTCCGCAATAGCTTCGAGAACGACACTGCAGAATTCGCTCTCGGCCGCAGCAGCAGGTCCGCACACACATCTCAAAGTCTCGACAGTGAGCTTGGTACACTCCTCAGGTAGCTCGGGCACGGCTAGCGACTCGCGAAGGAGAGAGAACATTTTCCGGCGACCAACCTCGTCACTATAGTCCAACGTAATGGCGATATGTAATAGTTGCTCAACGATAAATTCGTTCTCAACCGTGTCGTCGTCGTTTGCTTCACTAGTGTCCTTGGCCATTTTCTTCCTTTGTAGGAGCTCGATCATGTATTTTTTCAGGAAATGCGCGAAAGCTGTCACCTCAGGTATCTTCTCGTCGGCGAGACTATCGAACTTTCCTTCGTTCTCGACGCGGCAGAAGTCGTTAAACGATCGTAGAAGAAAGGCTGACTCGGCCGTCAAGGATTCCCAGAATGGCTCATCGAATACAACTGCCTCTCGATAGTCGGGGCGGCCCTCCCAGAAGCTGCGCATGGCCTCGTGCGCGATCCCCGAATCCATCCCAGAGCTGACGACATCAATTCTTTCCAATAATTCCAGTAGTGCCGGGATATTCGGGGGAGACCGCTGGGTGGAAGGACCATTTTCGGAATCGTTGTTTGCGCCAGCACAGTCTTCAATCCAGCGGTCATAGAACAACTTTCCTGTGGCTTTTCGGACACTTTCATCTCGGTCTCGAAGGCCCCATCGAAGCAGTTTCTCTCTCATTGAAAGCGACAAATGGCGGAAGTCACCCAGGGTGGGAAGTAAGCGGGAGTATAAGGCTCGTCTGGTAGTTGCTTCAAGGTCTCGTGCACGTTCGAGCAGATACGGGAGAGTCGCGGGCACTAAAGGCAGATTGAGCAACAAGGTCTTTCGCACTTCAGCACTTGTGTCATTCTGCATAATGTCAATGAGCTTTTCGAGGAGGGCTTTGGAGCTATCGTCGTTGTCATCGTCGTCTTCTTCTTCGTTTCCTGCCAGGCGTCCAAGCCCCAGCACAGCCTGTACCCTCACTGAGGGCTCCTTGTCTCTAATTCGTTTCAATAGTCCCTGTCGAATGGTATGGTAGAGATCATCATCGATTGTTTCGAGAGAATTGACAATGTGGGTGACAATTTGTGTCGCGCGAAAACGCACGATCTTGTCCTTTGCTGCCAGTAACGGCACAACCACGCTGATCAGATGAGTCGCCAGTCGGGCAGTTGGAGTCTCGATGATATTTTGCATGTCATCCTCGTCATTTCTGGCGGCGAAGATTTCGGTATCTTTCTCAGTCGCGTGAGATAGGAAAGTTCCAACAAACCGCAGAATTCGATCCCCAACCGACTCGGTCTTCTTGATCGGCAGTATGCGCAGCAAACAGCGACCAACCTCTACGTTAAACTCTTTTTCCGGAATGGTTTCTTCACTCGGCAGTAACAGTTCCTCTCGGACCTCAGGGTCCTTGCCATCCTTCTTCGTCTTCTTCGCAGAAATTCCGCAGCATGTCTCCTGCAGCTTCCTTAATCGCACCACAAGCTTCCGATGACCGGTCGTTGAACGCTGGGCATCAGCAAAAATCAAACAAACATCGCGACGTAGGTTAGGCGATGCTTCGGGCGGAGCAGGTTCCTCTGGAACCACAAAGGACGGGGTCACAGACGCGGCGCGACCTCCCGATGCTGAGGGCTGAGCCGACGACCTGCGAGTCGGCGCAGAGGTCGAACGGGCGGAAACTCGGCCAGGCATCTCTGGTTAATAGTGAGGAACGGCGTGAAATTCTGTCAAATGAAAAGGACTTGAATCATCTCAGAGTAGTCATTTGCATCTCATTTATTGCTGTATAGCATCAGTTGTGTGACTAGATAGGAATAGTGGTCAAGATGGACGTCGTCTTTCAGCAGAGCGGAGGTACCACTCCCAACGCAGATCGCTGTCACGGGGCCCAAAGGGATAAACAAACAGCCCAAACGGGAAGCACTAAGATAAGGGCTAGGGCTCTGGGCACGTGTTTTCTGTACATCTATGTATCTCTGGAGGGGTACAAACATCAATCTACCTGAACGACCACATAGCCACGAAACAGACTACTTTACTTGGAATCCTCTCATAGCAGCCCGTATTATAAACTCATCTTATGTTGCGAAGACCAACTCGACAGAAGTGGAAATGGCTGGCTCCATACGCCCAACTACTTGTTTCAAAACCTCATCACGCCATAGTTCACGTGATCTAAAGATGACTAACGCCGATGCTCGGCGTCCGAGAATCTGGGGTTCTTATACTCGCAAGTCATTTCGTCTTTCTCCGGCGTGCATACCGTTGACGGGTGTTCTGGAGTACCTGTGGTCTACTGGGAAGCATGTTTCGACAAAGTGTACGCCGGTTTGGCACAACTGCCCTCCGCGCCGTGGAGGCATCGACGGTTTACCATGAGCGGGTATCCAGAACTCAGGGCGTCGTGAACGGGTTGACGGAAGGTATAGAATACCGCAATGGACATCTCACGGTGGTAGAGCAATTGCACCATGCTAATCAGCCTCTTTCCTTGCAGCTATTGGAAACACCCCTCTCATCCGATTGAAGAGACTTTCTGAGGAAACCGGACGCAATATCTTCGGCAAAGCTGAGTTCCAGAACCCAGGCGGCAGCGTCAAGGATCGGGCGGCGCTATTCGTCGTCAAGCACGCCGAAGAGAAGGGTCTATTGAAAGCAGGCGGTACAGTCGTTGAGGGGACAGCTGGCAACACCGGCATTGGTTTGGCGCATGTCTGCCGATCCAAAGGCTACAAGCTTGTCATATACATGCCGAACACTCAGTCGCAGGGTAAGATTGACCTGCTGCGTCTTCTGGGTGCCGAGGTCTATCCTGTGCCCGCTGTTGCGTTTGACAATCCTCAGAATTATAACCACCAGGCGCGCAGACATGCGGAGTCGCTGGAAAATGCCGTATGGACGAACCAGTTCGACAACACCGCCAACCGCCAAGCCCATATTGAGACGACTGGACCCGAGATCTGGGCTCAAACGGATGGAAAGGTCGATGCGTTCACATGCGCTACTGGAACAGGAGGCACTCTGGCTGGTATCACGCGATACCTCAAGACCGCCAGCGATGGCCGCGTGAAGTGCTTCCTTGCCGATCCTCCAGGCAGTGTTCTCCACAGCTACATCCAGAGCGGCGGAAACCTGATCGAGCGCAGTGGAAGCAGTATCACAGAGGGAATCGGTCAGGGTCGTGTCACCGACAACCTGCAGCCCGACATCGATCTGCTCGACGGATCGCTAACCATCAGCGATGAAAAGTCCATTGAGATGGTTTACCGCTGTCTTGATGAGGAGGGCCTCTACCTGGGCGCTAGCTCCGCGCTCAACGTTGTCGCTGCCAAGGAGGTCGCCGAGAAGCTCCCCAAAGGTAGCAATGTGGTGACCATTCTGTGCGATGGTGCCTACCGGTATGCTGACCGGCTTTTCTCCAACACCTGGCTTCAGAGCAAGGGCCTCAGAAGCTCGATTCCCAAGCACCTGGAGAAATACATTGTGTTGCCATGATTGGCTGTATGTATAGTGATTAGACCAGTGCAATATACTTTACGATTTACGTTATGTCTGTCCTTCAGTCAATCAGAGTCTGCCTTGCCATACAACTCTTGGATACCTCGAGAACACTTGCACTAAATGATTGTCAGGTTCCTCGCCCGCCCGTATCCATTATACCCGACACCCCTCAGGTTCCACTGCGAATGTTCTACTTGTACATTCCCACCAGCATCAAAGGCTCGGCTCAGAACCTCCCTTCCCGTTCCTCTTTCAGGACACACAACTGCAGTCCACAACACCCAGCACCATCGCCTATTCCCCTGCCCAGCTTCCTCAATCTTGGCATCTACCCACGTCCTCCCCCCATCCACTGAAACCTGCACGCGAGTAACTGGTCCATCCGCACCATGCGGAACAGCATACCCCTTTACCTCCATAACCTCAGAACTCGACAAAACAACCGTCTCATCATCTTCCGGGACCGCCACAACGGAGTTGATAGGCATATCGGACATGGGGGGCGTCTGCTCCCAAAACGGCTGCGCGGATTCTTGATCGACCGCCACCGGCGGTAGGACCTTGTAATCATGCTGCTGGTAGAAGTTCGGCGACTCATGGTCCGAGACCGTGATGCGGTCCAGCCATTTGACCCATCTCGCGCCAACAATGCCAGGTAGGATAACACGCACGGGATAGCCGTGGTTCACGGGGAGAGGAGCGTCATTCATCTACTGCCGTTAGAGGCCAACATATCTCCAAGAAACGGGGCGGAGGAAAGGGGCACCTCCAAAGCCAAAATCGCATCCCCATCCTCCCTCAAACACCTCTGCAGCGGCACACTGGCCCCAAACCACTCATCCTCCTGGCATTTCACCTGATAGCACGAAAATTCCACATGCAGACCATCCTCGTCCTCCCTGACCCCCGCGCGAAGCAACACTTCCCGTAACCTCGGCCCCCTCCATTTACAGTTCATGACCGCCGCATCCCCCCAGTCAATCCCCTGCACTTCCTTCAGCATGGTGCGCATCGTGTGTCGCCGGTTGCCAGCGCATTCCAGCGCACAGATGACTTCATGCTGGTGGAATTCTCGGGCCAGCTGCTGGACAGATAGGCTGAGAGGGTTGGAGACCAGGCCGTCGACGAGCACTTTATGAGACTCCGCCGAGAGATGGGGGATGGGGCCGTGGTTCCGATCGTAGGAGACGCCAGCGGGTGTGAGGAAGCTGTATACTTTTCAGTATTTTATCCTTATTCCTATTCCGTCTACGGAGTCTTGTGTTACAGTACAGTCGAGGATGGAAGATGCATACCTCGCGACGAGTTGCTTGGCGGGTGGCTCTCGGTTCAGTGGCTTGTCGACGGAATAATCGATTTGCTTGGTTGAGTTAGAACAGACCGTGTGTTGGTGTTTTGAGACTTACCGTACAGGTCATTTCTACGGGTAGCAGGTGTAGTTGACATTGTCATCATCGACGTGTTTGTGTTTGCGGATGTTATGTAAATATATAGCGTTGCCCCCTACGTCATGGGTGAAGCCAACATGCATCTCGTGGCACAACGGGGAATGTGGTGCTGTTCATAGGATTAGAATCAAAAAAGTGGTCTTGTACCTTGAGATCAAGTTGATATTGTATTTATTTCTTTTACTTTCTACTGGTTCTTAGGAGTTCAAAAGCAGTGCAATGGTTAGCCATGCAGATTGGAGTATTATGCCTGTATTCAGACCCTCTATAACCATATCACCGTGTAGATATTGTACACTTGAGTGGCGAGTCGCACACATACCATACAAGTCAGCGCCCACTCAAGATCTAACATATGCACAAAGTGCAGAAGCGGAGTATATGCACGCGCGGACAAAGTACATCATCCGCATCGACCAAAATAAAATCACCAAGAACGCCCAAGATGCTGCCCATATCTATCCCAATAACGGGGACAACGAAACCCAACGCCGCGCCAATGTTTATACACGTTTTGCAAAGCACACCCATCTATTCAAACCAGAACAGCAACACCGCATAGCAAGCGAAGCAAGTGAAGCACTACTCCTCCGACGGCATCCTCATATACGCATCGATCGCCGCACTGAAAGCCGCAAAACCAACGCAGCCAGCAGCTGCAGCCTGCGGGCCCGCCTTCGCACCGAGGATCCCGCCCGTGATGCAACCGGCCGCCACGCTATTCGTGAGGTCGTTCTTCGCGCGCAGGCCCTCGATGCAGCACTCCGTGCCGGCGTAGAGGGCACCGACAATACCGAAGTTCTTCGCCGAGGACCAGGAGCGGGCGCCCATGTCTTTGAATCCGCGGCGGAGTTGTTCGCGCCAGGGGAGGTCGGAGAGCGCGGCTCCTTGGGGGGTGAATGCGGAGTCGTAGGACATCTATTGAGTAGAGCACGGTCAGACACGTTCTTCTGTATTCTTACATCGGGGATATCGGAACAACATACACTAGCCATGAACAAGCCGAAGGCACCGCCCAGCGCAAAACCCATCGTACCGGAGATGGCGGTCTTGACGGGACAGGATTCCATTGCTGCGTGCATCTGTGGTTTATATTAGCAGGTAAGCCGGTAGAAGATGATGTCTGCGAACGAACCGCCTTGACCATTGCCTGCTCCTGATCACTCATGCCCTGCATATTGTTTGCTCCTCCCATACCGCCGATGGGCGGAGTCATTCCTGGAAAGCTCATGTTGGATTAGAGAGTGTGTCTCGGCGTAGAAGGTCCTGAGTGCTGCTATTTATGCGCAGAAATTCTACTAGTAGAACTCGCGCAAAGAAAGGAGAAAATTGAGTCGCTAAATGGAAATCAAGTCGCTGACTTCAAGATAATCGACCTCGGACATTTTGCGGAGATGGCGAAAACAAATTTATTTTACGGCGTGGTGCAGCGGCCAAAAGCGCAGTATGTCACATGACATACGGCTCATGTTTCGGCCTCAATACTGCTCTATTTGTTGGGATGTTCATCAAGCTGGAGAAGCATCTGGTTGCTTAGCATCTAATTGCAAAATTTATAGAAATATAAACGCGAAACATATGTATACATAATATCCTCATACATAATCCGTGTCGGACTAGGGCCTCATCAAACACGTTTGTAACCAGGGAAGAGAAGAAAACAAGTCATAAAATGGCAAATCCACGAAAATTGATGAAGAAAACGCTGTCGTCGTGAGGGTATTCAAACGATAATCGTAGCCCTGCGTTAATTTGTACTTGGTCCATGCGGAGATCCAGCCAGGTAGAGCGCATGCCCATATATGTTTGTATTTACAGTGTAGCCTGAAAGTGGTAAGGAACAAGTATCAGGTCAAGAGTCATGAAGTAGGACAGCCCACGGACGGGTTCAGTCTTTTTTATCGTCCTTATTGAGCGGCGGGGAGCTCGATTGATTCTTTCTCTCAGGCGAAGGTGAGAGACTGCGCTCCCATTCGGCCATTAAATTGGATGCCGTCCGGGTGAGCTTCGAAGGAGCAAATTTGGTGATTGCAGGCCAGGGAATGCCATCTGATACGCTGGGGTCGGGGACGAAGTCGTCTTGTGTGGCGCGCCAGTCTCCAAAGCTAATTCAAGTCAGCGCATATCAATCAGTCAGACAGCGAGTTTAAAGCCTGGTGCAGAGCAAATAGCATACCTGCCGCTTGTCCGAGGGCTACTGTTCTGTGTCATCGGAGACTGGTCGTGCTTGGACTCCAGCGTGGAGCGGCTCGACGAAGGGGTGTGCGTCTTCTTAGGTTGGGGGGTATCCCAGTCATCCCAGTTCTCTTCAACGTCGAGGTTGTTGTCGGAGGTTTCTTGTTCGGTCGCCCCGCGTGGGGTATTTGAGGCTCCGCGAGCTTTCGTGGACTTCTGCCCAGCTGTATCAATGCCGAATTCACTCCAGAATGACACGTCCATGTCCGCCGATTTAGTGTCTTTACCAGTTAATTGTGTCCCTGCCGCCTTGCCCCGCGAGGACGACGGTGACCGCGATGAATTGCCTCCTTGCACCGACAAGCGGTCTCTGCTTCGGGACGCGGAGCTGGAATCTCGTTTCCGCGCGGGAGGCACTCCTCTCGACTGAGTTGCATTGATTCCCTCTTCTCCCACGGTAGCCTGTCGAATGTCTTCCAGGAACGTCCACAAGCCTTCTCTCAGATCTGAAGCCATCTGCTTGCCGGTACGCACGAGTGCCTCCCGAGACGGGGGCGGCATGGTCCTCCGCCACTGAGAGATCATATCCTCTGTAGGCCGCTCGCTCGTCTCCGTGGTTGCAGCGCGTTCAACAGAAGGCAAGGTCGCCGACCGCGGCGTCCTGGTCGCACGGCCGCCGTCCGCATCAGTACCAAACTGCTGGTTGACTCCAGGACCATTAACGGGCGAGAGCAGTGATAACGCCCGCGTATGAGACCCCTGGAACACTCGTCGTCCGTTCGCAGATATCGCAGTTCCGCTACTCGCAGTCGCCCGTAGGCTTTGGCGCCGCTCGAGATCGCGGCTGAGTCGAGCTTGCACGGCCGAAGAGCCATCCGCGGTGCCTGCACTGCGTTCTTGACGATGCTGGCTCGATTCTTCATGGGTCGCGCAGTCAGGCGACCGCAGAGGGAGCAACGGCTCAGCTCGGTGGTTGATCTCCGTGCGTTTCTTCGTCTTCTCCGAGGAAGCCCATTGTTTCTTCAAAGTATCCAGCTCCGCCTCTGCCCGCTGAAGCTCCTCGCGGAGTTCCAACACCTTCCGTTCCTGCGATGCAATGGCGGTCAGAAGGCTAGAGCCATCATCCTGATCATCGAACACGATCGGAGTTCCAGCGGCAGGGAGAGGAGATGGACGGGCTGCCGAGAATGTGGCAGGTGTCATAGATTCGGGGGAAGCGACGCTTGGATCGGATTCAAGATCCGGAACAACGTTGATAGGGAAGTTGAGGGTTAGGCGTTTTGCGTGCCGAGCAGCACCGTTCGGTCTGGGGGGAATAGATGATCGCTTCTGCTGAAGTTCTTGACGACGTTGTACCACAGGTGAAGCCTCAGCACTGGCAGCTGGCAGGTCCCGCTGACTTTGGAACGACGGCGACATTGTTTGGGACGCTTCCGGCGCAGGTTCCGCGTCGCCCGTTCCCGGGGAGCTCCCCATCTTCGGGACAGAATAAAGCGTAGAATGTAGCGATTGTACCTAAGGGAATGAATCGATCATGACAAAATGAGCGTGAGGATTGGCCAGCCAAATGAGAGCGATGGACTGATGATGAAGGAGGCAAAGAAATGGAGCAACGGAAAGAGAGAAGGAAGAAAGAGTCGGAGAAATTATGCACAGAGGTTCTGGCCAAACAGCATCACTGGACAGATATGAGGACAGCCTCGTCTCCCCTATCTAAACCAAGCAGTCCACCTTAATTTAACAGTCTAATTGACCAAACTAACAGACCGCCTGGCCCAGAATTCCCCGTGGTCTAGTCTTTAGCCTGACGAGTGACGACTCAGGAGAACGTCAAGAGCGTGGCGGGTCTCCCACTGCTCATCCTTTCCGCCTCCAGTGTCGATGGCCGCGTTTCATCCATTCAGGGGCAGGATCGCCTCGAGTCTGGTGGCTCCAATTGGCAGTTTCCCATGTTTAATTAAGCCGGTCGTACTGAAATCTTACAGCAATACAAGATGATTCTTCAGGAAGCCTCATTTGCGACTTGATATTGAGGAATACTGCGCTATGCAGCGGTATGCACCGAGCAACCTCCCTCTGACATGAAATATGAGAATGCATCCTACAGATGAAGGATTGTTCGAGCGTCAGATCGACGAATCCATCAGATTATTATTATTTTTTTTCTTTCAAAACGAGTCGCTATATCCACGCCTCAACAAACACGACATACAGGAATGAATCACAGTAGCTACAATTAATGACCAGCAACACATATATCACAAAGAGAACAGAAGTAAAATGCTCCGCAACGCAGGACACTCGAAGACATAGGGTCCATGATGAAACACAAGTAGAGGGTAATCACACAAACAATGCTGGACAGGGGAATTCCAATAGTCACACAGGAAGAATTAACAGATTCACCAGAAATTAGTCCAAAAATGGGAATACCAGGACCAATCCTTATGCAAACAAAGAAAAAGAGAGAGAAAAAGGTCAGCTGCTGAGTAGAAGTCAAGTTCGCAGGCAGGTAATCTACCATACAGGCTCTCCCAGCGCAGCAAAGGACAGAGACAACGTCCGAAGTGGGTATCATCGACCAGCAGTTCAACCCATCAGAAAACAAGCAAGTGAAGAACGAACGCCCCTAGTGAGACATTGAGAGCGACAGTTGTATGCCAAAGACACCGAGAAAAATAGCAAACCAGCAAACCGGTAGAGAAGAAGATCATGATATATCGAAGCCGGTGACGCCCCAGAACCTTTTATACAGCGAAAGGGAAAGTGATCCAGCAAGGACAGCCCAAGAGTAGATAGATAGAATTAGATTCCAGGCCAGCGATTACGAAGGCCGTCCGACCAACGCTGGTAAAGAACGTCCGACAGTTGCTTCGTGTGTTCCATTCCCGGCACCTGCTGACCGGGAAGGCTAGACAGCTGCGCCGGCTGCCAATTGGAGTCTGGCGTTGCTGCAGACTGACGGCGACGGTGGCTCTTCAGATGTGGATTATTTTGTGCTAAAACGAGCCGTGGTCTCTGTGGGGATTCGGGTTGTGGAGCTTGCGGGACGAGAGTTGCGAGTTTCGAATCACTGAAAAGGAGGCGAGAGTCAGTGCTACGCTAGTGACGGACATGTGAACCTGCAATCACCGACCTCTGAAGTTTCTCATTCATAGATTTGAGAATATGGTATAGGCCCTCGGGGTCGACCATCTCCAGGTCGCTCCAGGCCTCCGCCAGTCTTGAGATGGCTTCTCTTTTCTCCTGGTCTGCGGTAGTGCCAAGGACCTCCTGGCAAGCAAGGCCGACGGCCTTGCTATAAGCTCGACGCCCTAGCTGAGCCTCCTTGCTGTTCGAATCCGAATACAGCGTCTTGGGACTTGCGTTCTCATCAACAGCGATTTGGTACTGGTTTATGTACGAGGTGTCGGGCCCGGTCTTATCCGACACCCGACGGAACTGGCGAACTGTTGACGGGCTGTTGCCGAAAGTCAAGTCGACGCCCAGGGGCTGCTTTACGCCACTTGATCGTCGCTTTGGCCGTCGCACAGAGGGACTCCGGTCAGCCGCTGGAGTTCGCCGTACGGTCGAGTTCGTGGCATGCTTCGGCGGGAGAGGCGGACTGGACATGTGCAGATTGTCCATCAACTCCGAGGCTTCGTCGTACAAACGGTCTCGTGTATCTCGGTCAGATACTAGGTCGTGCGAGTCCTCTGGTTTCGACGTGGGAGGTGCCTTGACAGTGTCAAAGACCCATCCGTCGTCGTCTTCCAGCCGCGTGATAGTATTGCTGTGCGAGTATGATTAGCGGATGGACTACTCGAAACCCGGAGGCGAAACTCACAGAGACTCCGCATAGTATTTGACGTTCTGCCTCAAACCTTTGCCAGCATCCCAATCCTGCTTCCGTTGAATGAGTTCCTGCAACGCCTCAGTCTTCCCTGCATTGCGAATGAATTTGTGTCTCAAAAGCTCCTTCGCGCTGGGTCTCCGATCCGGGTCCTTAGTCAAGCATTGCGCTATAAAGTCCTTGAAAGCGCTGCTATATTCATTTCCTTCTAACCGAGGGGCTGG